TTTGGAAGGCGGGGGGGAACCCTCCCCCCCTTCCCTGCTTCAGAAAGAAAATTTCTTGGAAACAAAAGTCTATCGGCCAAAACAATACCTCTGTCAGGTTCCTGGCTCATGGTTCATAACCAGCGGAAAGGATTTAAAATGAGAGCACGGTTGGAAGGGACCGGTGAAATTTCTGCAGGTACCGATGCTGAAGCCACAGCCTCCGTGAGATATCGGGTTGAAAAACCCAAAACTGGTTCCTGCCCCTCAGCCCTGGAGAAAGTGCGGAAAGGATGAGGGAGGACAGCAGTTAGTTTTTAAGCTGTTCTGAGCAAAATGCACACATCAAAAAAATTTACAGTGCTCAGGAATCACCCTTTCAAGCTGTATCCCCACCACAAACATGCTGGATTACCAACAAAACAAGGCCGGCACCCATTTAAAGCAGAAGTCAGTCTGGAAATGAGCCTCAAACCTTGTGTGACCAAACTCTTCTAAAAACAGCTCTTGTCAAAGCCGGCAGGGACAGGTTACAGGCAGCTGGTCCCGTCCACCTCCTCCATGGATCTTGCAGCTGCTCTGCCAAGCGATGAGGCATTCTCCGGGCAGCCCCAGTGCTCCTTGGCGCAGCAACTCCTGCAAAGTGAATCTGGAAATCTCCCTGTCAAATTCTAGGGCAGGACAGAAACTGGGAGGTCACTGTAGCAAAAAATAACCCACCCCCAAAATTCAAACCTTGGTAAACATCAGGTGTTTGGGAAGAAAATCTTCCAAATGCTAAACGGGGAGAATCCCCAAATAGCGATACCAAAACCCAGCAGATGCTCAGCAGACCTCAGCCCATCATGAGAAGATGGATGGAGATCCAAAGAGGAGCAGAGAAAAATCCCACTGCACGTCTACAGCTGGGAGCCTCACATCAGCCTCTTCCGGGGAGCAAACGCTGGAAGAGGCTGCAGTTCCCACTGCCGGACAGGTGGGAGCAGACAACCTGCAGGGAAGTGCTCTGTGAAAAACTAACAGTAAGGAAAAGCAAATATGAATCAGTGATCCAGGTGGGATGCTGTGCCTGCGGCTCCTCGGGGATCCTGTGTGCCCTGGCTACGTACAGCTCTCAATCGATATCTCCTTAACTGCGTTATCTACCATTGCTTTGACCCTGGAAATAAATTTACAGCAGAAGCAGCATGATATCATCTGAGAAAAACAGAGCATACACCAAGCACTACCTTCAAAACCCTTCTTACAAAACTGACTTGGTAAAACCATTCTGACTGGGAATAACTGCTAAGGAAGAAAAGCATTGTAATTTGGAAAAAAAAAAAAAAAAAGGAGGAATCTTCCGAAGAAGTGCTCTAACCAGGTGAAAAGGTAATGCAAGCTTTGTCAGAGTGACATTTTCTGAACTAGAAACTCCATCAGTTTCTAAATGTAGCTATTGCATTTAAAATTCATACCCTAACCTGCCATTGATTTAATTTCATGTCTAAGCAAATCCCAAGTTAAATCCAGAAACTGGTGTATCCAGTATGCTTTACAAGATGTGCTGGGAGATAGTGAGGCTGGAAGGTAAAAATTTCTCTCAGATCTTTTTTAGCAGAGGCTGGGGATTAGCAAGCCAGTAATGAGAAACTGAGTATGCAAAGATCAAACATCTCTGTTCCTCAAAAGGGATTCAGAGAAATACCTAAGGGTGTTTGGTACTTCTTGGTGTGCAGGATATGAACCTGTCTCCCAAAACTGGTCCAAGTTACAGGAATTTTCTCCAGTCAGACACACAGAGAAAGGATCATCGCCAGTCCCCATCAGACCCCTCAACCCATACATGGGGCTGCGCTGGTACAGACCCACATTTGCAAAAGAAATGGTTTCCAACTCCCCATCCCATTCGAAGCCAGTCAGAATTTCTCAGAGGCCACCCTTGATGCTTTACTGTCAAGCTTTTAATTAACACCTGTTAATGGCAACCCCACAGCCTTGCAGCTTACACTTTGGAAATCACAACTTCATGCCCAACGCAGTAACGCCCACGGCCTTCCAGCTCTGCAGTTGGCGAAACAGTTTTTTTCAGTCTGTGTAACTCAAACGGTAATCCGAGAGTCCCTGCAATTTGAAGTAATCTAAATTGGATCATCACATCTTCATCAAATAACACGGTAAGAATGTTTGAGTTGTTTTTGTAATTACTAGTAAACAGTACATGCTGAAAGGCAGAATACTTCATAATCTCAATCACAGATTTTGATGCAATTTTCAAGAATTACATAATCCCAGTGAGCTATGGTATCATCTACCTTGGATTTCTTGCCTTTAGCACATAAAGATAAAAGCAGAATTTACCTTACTACATGGAGTCCTTGTCTTTCATCTTGCGTTACGCTAAACGGTAATTAATCAGGGCTTTTCCTGTAGCCATCCACGAGAAACAAAATCCCACGCTCTGTTTAACTTGGATTCCAAAACACAAACCCTACAAATCCAGGTGACCAGCTGTTTCGTAGCTCCACATAAAAGTCTCCTCTGTACTTCAGATGCTGCAATAGTGGCCAGGAGCTGAAAACGAACATTAAGATGAATAAGTGATACACAGGAAAAAAAAAAAAGTGCAGACATTAACAGCTCAACAGAACGTTGGCCGAGATTCTCACAAACAACCCCAAAAGGTTGGCTTGCACATCAAGGGAACGTGGCCCAAAGCCTCACGTCAACCTCTCTCCCAAAACGAAACACATGAGCTATTTTAAGCTCTGCAGCACCAGCAAACGGGCTTCCGTGGGTAGTGTTTGCTGGCCTCCACTCCCAAATTGCTTCTCTGCCTAAGGGCCCAAGGGTCTGTATATATACAGCTCTCCTAGAAACTAGGGGATGCCACTGAGGATGGCTCAGATTAATCATCACCAACTTTCTTTCCACCTCAAAACCAAAAGCAGAGAGCAAAATGGTTTTGCCACAGGGTTCCTGTCTGTGAGGGGTGTTGTGCCGTGATAACCTGTCTCACTGTCCCTCAGACACAGACTGAGATGGATATGGTTTATCCATGCATTAGGAAACATTACAACGGGACAGCAATGCCAGCCAGCCTCAGAATAGCAGCATAAATTTATATCGATAAAGTTAAGCGTGGCTTCAGGTCACCTCACGAAGCACATCAGGAGGGCTGCATTATAAAAGCTAACATTTGGGGGGATAGGGAAAGGCAGGTCAAAAAGAGGAGAATGAAATGGGAATACAGGGTGGCACTGTTGCAGTACTGTAACAGAACAGTCTAGAAAGCATTTAACAACAGAACATAAAGAAAACCTTCTTTACATCACCTCTGAGATGCCACTCTAGACAACAGATACTCTTCAAGAAGAGGGGCATCATCTGAGTGTTCAGCACCACTGACCAGCTACATCAGAAGAAAAAAAGCACTCTGCTCTCTTCCACCTCTCTGCTGCCTCTGAAACACGACCAGCCCACGCAGGGAACGTTTGTTTCCTTAAATTCAGAGTAACCGAAGGTTAGGACATTGGTAACAGCCCACGGCACAGTCAGATGCACAGCAGGAGGAAAAAATTCACAGCAGACGAGAATGCAGGGCTCCAGTAGTCCTCTAGTTCCGCTTGTTCAGAAATACGCTAAATCTAGTATGCATCGCCATTCCCCTCATATTCACAGCGCGTTTACCATTCCACTTGATAAAAAGACCACAGACTGACAAAGATATCGTAATTATGGACACAAACAAAGGTGTAGTAGAAGTAGGCTTTATGAAAGTATTTAAATTTTGTGGCAAATCTCTGCATCAACATGGGCAGGGAGGCAACTAAACGCTTTGCACTAGCAATTTCAGTTACCCAAACTATTTCTTGGATAGACGTTTATTACAGGTAGTTTATCCGTTCCTATTTCTCAAAGAGTTTAAGGCACAAAAGCCTGAAAAGGGCTTATTACATGTACATAAGTGCTATTATTTTTGCTGTCACCTCTAAAGCAACATAATATTAGCTTAAATATATTGCTTGTCCATCCAGCTTATACAACATCCAGTAGAAAACTGCTTTCCAGGTTAGCAACAATTTGTTGCACAATATATCGATTAGATTGCTCTGACCCGTTTTTGCTGCAAGATCTTCAGTTTCACCATATTCGCTCTGACAGGGCAGTGGAAGACGTTATGAAATCTTAACATCTTAATGAGAGCATCAACGTGTGTCCACAATGAAAAAAAAAAAAAAAAAGCAGCATGATACACAACATTTAGACAAGGTTGCTGGTAAAAGTGTTTTAAACTGCTTGACTGAATGGGGAATTATTTCCTCATACACAGGTGGAGACGCAAACCAAACCTGCGAGAGACCACCAGGTAGTTTTATAACACTCCCCTCTGTATTTACTCTCCAAAATGCTCTTCAGGTAGACTGCTTAAGAGCAGCAAGCTACAAACTTGGTAGCTCAAGATCACAGCTTGGCTTAAGCAGAACATGAGCTTTCATCCGCACGGTTCTTTCCTGTGCTCAAGATACAGCAACCTTACCCAGTCACTAGAAAGCTTTTGAGACATTGTAGTGGTATCCAACAATGTTTTTTTTTTAAAATAACACATTTATGAAAGTTGGATCAAATGACTGAAGACAATTAGATGGGCAGCAAAATAAAAAGATGGGCAGGAACCAAAATGCAAAGGGTAATTTTACTTAAAAGACCAACTTTTTTATTGTTCGTTGGAGTAGTCTTTCCCCTGTGCCATCTCGTTGAAAGTTTATAAATTACAATTCCCAAGAAGTATTAAGAGTTCATTTCAAGACAAAAGGAATAAAACCGTTGCAGTTCTAGCTTTCACCATGAATAAAAGTTACCACGATGCTCCTACGATACTCATTCTGCACAGGAAAGGCCACAGTCCTCCTGTACTTCAAGTAACAGACCTTGGGTGGACAAACGGCCACCCCTCACTACTGCAGGATCCAGGTGCAGCATTAACAGTCCGGAGCGCGCTGGCGGGTTTGTCACGCAGACGCAGTGCCTCAGCAACGAGGCTATAACACGGCTGGAATCTCTGACGAGACAGTGTCCAAAGGCTGCCAATGACAGTCCATCAAGGCATCATAGAGCTCTTCGCTCTGTTCCATAAATTGTTTATTCGCTTCGTGGACATCCAACTGAGGCGTCGGATCTAAAGGAGGAAAGACGGACAGATAGGTCACACACCAAATGCGTCAGGAAAAACCCACACCCCGTAAACATCTTAGTTTTACTAAAACAAATGTGGAGGGCATCACAAAACATTCCCAGCACGTGCCCAATCACAGACCTGACTAGATTAGCCCTAGAAAACCTTCCTGCAATGGGCTAAGAAATAACTACATCCAAATCCATCCCTCTCTCCAGTGGTGATTGCCCCCATAGCAGAGTCAACAGAGAGAACGCATACCTGCACCTCGCAGCCCAGGGTAGCCACTTAAACTGCCAAAGAAGGTGGGTTGGCACTAAGGCACCGGACTGCAAAGTGGAGGAGCGGAGGCGCAGGCACACGTTCCGTTCTGCTCCCTCCACTACAGGGTCAGAGTGGATGGCTGGGGATGGTAGGTAGCGTCTTACGCTGCTGCAACAAGAGTCACCAGAGCTCGTCTGCCAAAGCCTCGAACATCTCAAAGCATTTCACAGTTAGTAACCAAAGAAGTGCCAGTGACACCCAATGAATTACGTATGAATACGTCCCCTATTTTACAGTCGGAAGAAATGTTCGTAAAGCATGTTGGAGCTGGATGGCAACCCAGCGAGTACAATTCTGCTGCTACCAATGCACACTTAACATTTCACAAAAATCAACTCCTCGTATTCCCCAAACCACCTGTAGGATGTAAAGCTCACCTTAACAGCACCCACAACCTAAAGCTCAGGTTACCAGAGTAGCACAATCACAGAGGTTAGTAAGCAACTATCAGAGTGCAAAGCAAGTAGCCAACTGAATGGAAGAACCACAAAACAGACCAGGAATAAAATGCTTGTAAACACGTTCCGTTTTAACTACATCATGTCGTAACACATCACAGGAGAGCAGAGTTAAGAAAAAGGAATGATACACTGGCAATACATTATTTCAGTTTCCTACAAATTTCAACACATTAATTTAATCAATGGGAAAAAGACACCCCGGAGATATTCTATCTATAGTACTGCTGGGTTAGTTTCAGAGAAAGTAAAGCTCTCCTGTAATGCTTTTAAAAGGCACTGAGGGCTTTTTAATTGACATCATTACTGATACCTATGGATCCTGTAAAGGACCCAGCTGCTTTCTACTGTTAGCATGTGATTTTTATAGTACATATTCAACTCAAGACAGAAATCTGGAACAGCCAGTATGAAATGATTTTTTCTTGCATCACTAAATGAAAAGTGCTTGTATGTATATCTAAAACCCCAGCATGGTTTAGTGGTCCGTTTCAAGCAATGACTGGTAAAGGAAGTATTTTATCAGTGTGCTAACTGATATTATTCCTTTTTTAAACTAAAAGCAGGGTGAAGTATCCTGGGCTCTAAATTCCAAGATTTTATGAAAAAACAGAATATCTGCACTGTTTTTGTAGCATACCAGTAAAAATACTAAAAAAAGGATAAAAGTTTGAGTATTATAGAAGATTAAAATCTCAATGCTAGTGAAGTCAATTAGTTTCAGTCGTGACAAGGTTCAGACTAGGAACAGCAACTGTAAAATAGGGACACAATTGCGCCAGGTGATAGTGACCCGCAAATTTTCTCAGCCCGCAGATTTACTCAAAGATAAAAGTATATTATACATTGAAATTAAGGGCAAGTTTGAGAAAGGCTATCTCTAATTGGTGCAGAACAGACAGACAACTTCAATATTGAATTTGAGAAACGTACCTTCCAATGCATCCTCACCAACTTCTTCATACGTCTGCAAAGAGAAAACCAAAAACCACCTTAGGACAGCAGATATTTACCTTTTCTTTTATGAACGTCATCTGTTGATTACTGCTGTCATATACTGACTTTTATATCTGCCTGATTACACAGAACTCTTCACACATAAGCCCCGTGTTCCACTCCCAACAGACTCCATGGGGCAGTTCCCACACTAAACTAACAGAGGCAGGAGTTCTTCAAATCCTGTGGCGCAGTGGGTGGCCGTCCTGATCTGTTTTATCCTCTAGAACAGGCTTACGAAGGCTCCCAGAAGGCAGTCTTAGCACTGTCTGTCCAACTGCCCATATCAAGAGAACCCTTCTACCACAACAACTGTATTAAGAGACCCTTTGTGCCCTCCAGACCTTTTTACCCCCTGCCCCAGTCCCAGCAATATCTCCCTTACAAGCCAACAGTACACACCAGGGTCTGCTAAACATTTTTGCTTCCTCATCAAGCAGTTATTAAGACCCCAGAATATAAAATATGTCCATTTCGTAACCTATGTGGTGTTTCTGTGCCGACAGATCGCTGAAGAGCGAGTACGTTGCGCTGTCCTACCTGCATTGTGCTCTGCGTGTATCCGTACTGGGGATAGCTGTAGCTGTAACTGCCTGTGTTCTGGTCGTAGCCCCACTGGGCGTAGTAGTTGTGATATTGTTGGTAATATTGGTTATAATTATAGTTGTACATCTGATTGTACTCCATGGGTTTCACACGATTACTTAAAAAAACAAAGCAGGAATAAGTTGCAAATAATGCACAACGATTATGAAAAAAAGCAGTGAAATAGCTTAAGGTACAATATGGTAGATAGACAAGGCTCAGTCCAACATGCAAATTTCAGTCTTTAAAATATATTCACTATTTACTGCAGCAGTATTCATCATTTGCATACATTTGCAGAAAGAAAAAAGTGGTTTAAATTTCATGCCCCTTCCTGTATTCATATTCATCTTCATTAATAAATATTGCTTCCATTCTCTATGAGTTAATTTAGTATCACTTCCTGGCTTTGGGAAGGGAAGAGTTCAGGACTATGAGCCTCAGCTTAGAATAATCCTGAACCACAATCCAAATTCTTGGGTCCTTTTTTCCTTCTGATAATTAGGATGAAGTTAAGTACTCTGCAGCTTCCTGAGACAAGGTACTGAGTCTTGCTTTACATAAAGAGATAAAGACTTAAAGCCTTGCAAAAGAACCGGGGTTTTCTTGAGTAAGAATGGACAAAAACCTCTCCTCTCTGCCACTATTGTACAGAAGCCTAACCAACAACTGGTTGTCCCCACTCCCACTGAACTGGGTGGCCTTCACTGCACGAAGTAAAAAGAACTACAAGTAATTAAAAAACTAAACTTGAACAGCCTGTGAGCTGACTAAAATTCCCATTCCTTGCCATAAAGTGGCAGCATTCCCAAGGAACTGGGAATCTCACCTTATTATCAAGATTTGAAATAATGAGATGACAAATATTGTTTGGAAATGAAAATGTGTCACACAAAGCTATGTCTAATGATGAAATAAGTGAGAAGTAGGAAGAGAGAAACATCAATCTTCTCACCACGATACACCCCCTTTTTCTGCTTTTCTCTTCCTTATCCCCCCCCAGACTTCTGAGGTCACTGAAAAATCTAAATATTATTCAAATAGGGAGCAATTACTATTATTCGTATTACCCTAGTGCTACGAGCCCCAAGTCAGACCAGGATCTCATTGTATCAGGTTCTGAACAAACACAGAAAAAAAAGTTAATCCCTGCCCCAAAAGACTTATATTTAGTAGACATTATAATAGAATTAGCAAGGTAATTGAGCTTTGCTATCCAGAAATCAATAAGCAGATTTAGACTATTTCAATTTAATGCAAAGGAACATATACTTTAAAAATAATCATATTTAAATACAGTGTGTGTACATGTGTGTGTATTTAATAATGTATACAAATAAAAACAGTGTAAAATGCTTAGTCTTGATCTAATGTTATAGTTTTTTGGAATTCCTGTGCACTCTGATAGTCTAGCTACTTTATTATATTCGTGGGTATTCCTTCACTTTGTGATGGAAATATCCAGGAAACGTACCCAAACCCCTAAAAGACATTTAAAAATACAGGTGATTTCACATCACACTGCTCTTATCGAAACGTCTGGCTGCTCTTATACTCACGCTTTTGGTATAGCCACACTCAAGCGTACAGGTTTAGAGCCCAACCCCACAGCTCCTTGACACTCTGTCAGCGCTCTTTTCTGTTCCAGTTCATCCGTGAATTTCACGAACCCGTAACCTCTGCAGAGATACAGAACAACTCACATAAAACAGAAACAAAAAAGCCATGCCACCTTTTAAAAATTTTATTTAATATTTACAATGAAGTCAAAATTGAGTTTGAAAAACACAGCAAATGAAACCCTTTCGCTAGGGCTGTCCTTGCTTTTACTAGAGATTAAATGATTCCGCCTTCCAGTTGCTTTTGCAAAATGCTTGAAACTGTACGTTGAAGCTTCAGCAGCGGTTTCAAGGGCTTGACAAATGTAAAGTAATTCTTGTGCCAGTGGGTTCTGGGGAATTGGAAGTGAGCTGACACAAGACATGTCAAAATGCATGAACAGACAGTAGCAAAGCCTCAAATCTATACTGGGAGGATACAGATAATCTAAACAGTTGCAAGTCAGCACAGGATTGACAAGACACAGGCACCGTTTATATTGAAAACTGCCCCACTGTGAAGGAAAACATTCCTGTTCTGTACAATTAACTGAGATACACTTTCCAATCAAGTCCTTTTTTCAACCGGAAAATATTCAAATAGGTTTTCCATCATTCCTAACAATGGCACGGCCCCATCAGCATTCTCAACAGCGGACCTGAAAACAAGCTTTTAACATCAAGTTGCTAAAACCTGCTCTGACAGCGCAACTTGGCCGGGGATAGCGCAAAGCCAGCAACCCCCTGACTCTGTGGCAATCCTTCACTGCAGTGCTACCAGTACCGTATGTCAGCCAGCCAGAAAATATTAATTCCCCTCCAACCCCAAAGGTCCTTTGCGTGGGATTCTGATGCTGTAGTGAGTCAGAAGCAATGCAACAACATCCAAGAGGGCAGTGCCAGGATCCCAAGATGGGATGGGCTGCCTCACGCAGCAGAAAGATCAAAGACTTAGGTGTGGGAGGGAAAAAGAAATCCATCTAGGTGAAGGAAGGAGTTTGGGAGGGAAAGGGCTTGTCTACCTGGGGAAAAGAACGAGCCGTAAGCAAGGGTGTAAATTTACAGCATATTATCTGTTCTGTGGGAACTCTTAAACACCAAGTAACACACTATTTTGAAAGCGGCATCCCTAGTACTTGTAGTAGGTCCACACTGGAAGCTATTACAGAGCAGTTCGTGCCCTACAAAATGCAGTATCTTGCATAGCAAGCTATATACACAAGTCCAAATATATATTTTTATACATACATACAAGTATGTGTGTGTACCTCTCACATACGGAAGACCAAATCAAAGCTCAGGCTTATCTATATACAAACTGGATAATTAAGCAAGAGCAAAACTCTACATGGGTACACATTTTGTTTAACTTGCCCTCTGCAAAAGGACGAGGGCAAATTAAACCAGTGCAAGTCAAGTTTTAAGTCAGTTTAAGTCAGTTCTAGGTGTTCACACACAAAAGCGTCTAAGCTTCTAAGCTGCTACAAAGACTCCTGCAGCCTTTCGGATGGGACCAGCAGTGTGTAAGTGAAATTGAGAATATTGGCAGTTCCAAAATAGAGACGGACTGATAAAGAGTTGGATGTAGTGTACAGGAGCAGACATTGGGTGCAGCAAGGGAGACAGTGATTCTTCCAACTTTTCCAGACACTTTGTTTTTTCACACTAATGGCTAAACCAGATTTCAGTACAGAAGAAAACCCACCCAAAAATCTTTTCTTCATGGCCAGGACCTCCCTGGCAGACATTCTGTCCTGTCCCAGCAGCCAGGAGAAGCCCCCCAGCCTGCACCCTCAGCAGAAAGCACAGAAGCAGGCAGAGCACTACCGCATCAGGCTCCAAGCTCCTCTCTTGCCTGGACAAGAGGTGCTGGGAGGAGGCCTCCCTGATCTACCAGCTGGAAGGGCCAAGGCTTCACTAGGCACGTCCACGAGCCCCAAGTTCCTCTCTCACATCACACTAACACTTCCAAGTTGCCTCAGCTTTGAGTAACTGCACAAGTCACAACATAGCCCCTGGCAGCAACACCCCAGCACTGCTAGGGGAGATAGCTGTGTTCCTCCCAGCAAAAGGACTTTAAGTCCTTGCTCCTTCCCCACTTCCCAAGCTACCGCAGACTCCCTTTTCCTGAGGTCTGCACTTAGGAACAGTTCCCAAAGCCCAACTAATGTCCCAACCCTGCATCACCTAACACCTCTGTAGGCTGAGAGTGAAGCAGGTGCAACAAAACAAGAACTGCTGGGTTTACACCTCTGAGGAGGAGGAGGCACCTGGAGCCCACCCCAGCAGTGTCGGTCTCAGGTGAAGTGGCAGTAACAGGATGAGTACTAAACAGCCAGAGTGACTGAGCAGCTCTGCAAGAGGTTGAGGTTGCACATGAGGAAGAACTTCATTACTAGGGAGATACTGCAGCACTGCAACAGGCTGCCCAGACAGGTTGTGTTATCTCCATCCTGGGAGGTTTTCCAGGCTACACAATTCATGGCTGACCTGATCTAGCGTTGGCAGCAGTCCTGCTCAAAGTGGGAAGCTGGACCAGAGACCTCCAGAGGCTCCTTCAAACCAGCATGTCCAAGATTGAGAAACCTTATGTGAGAAAGAGGGGAGATCTACAGCCGTATTCCAAATCTTGTCACAACATTCTCATAGGTATTACATCAGAATATTGTGTTTCATTGAAGTCTGTTCATTTCTGTTTTGAAAACAAGGATGCTGACCAATGGGTCCCTTTTCTAGGAAAATACTGTTTCATTTTCTGCTATTTAGAAAATGTTTCGATAACATTAGGAAAACCAACTTTTTGACATGTTTTTGGCAAGATGTTTCCAGTAAAGATGAACAAGGCGGCTGCTAAGTACTTGACAATGAATCATAGCTTTGTTTGCCCTACCCTATTTGAAACAAAAACCTGTAAGGCTCTCACAGGGATATACACTCAATGGCCTAAAGACTTTAAAAGCCCAATTCCATCTGAAATGCTGACGTTTTTTCAGCATTTTCAGAAGTGCAATAACCTACTGCCAACACACAAAGGGCATAATACTGACAGAGGAGTGACAACGCACTGTGGTGACTACCAAAATCCAAGCATACTGTAGACTGACTATCCAAGAACGCTGTATTTTTAGATAACTAAAAATCTAAGCTGATAGAATTATTCTGTTTTCCTTGCTGCATTATACCTTTCCTATTGCTGCATGTGAAGTGAAAGAAAAGAATGAATAAAAGATTACTTACTTGGATACTCCTGCCTGGTCCAAAACAACTTTTCCACCTCTACATGATGGATAAACTTTAACAAAAAATTCATATAACATGCCATCATCCACATCAGGGGTCAGGTCTCCCACAAAAAGTGAATATTCTGGACTAAAGAAATCAAAAGAAAACTTACAAGTACAATCACACAAAAATAAGAGGCGTGCTGAATGACAGCTAACATTTAGCCTAAACATTTGCATTCAGACAAAAGTGATATTAAGGGATCATTTAATGGATACTTTAAAGTGTCGCCAGTTAAGTTGCTTAGGTGACTAAAATTTTTATTGACACTGCTTTTTCAAGTTAATTTGAGCAGCACAACTAATCTACTCAATCCTGCTTTTTATTTAAAGAGAATTTATTTTTTTATTTCTCACAGGATATCTCTGGATTTCTAATGTGGCAAGAAAACATTAATGTTTCATTTACAGATTTGCTATTTCCAATACGTTGATCTTAAATTATAATGTATGAATTTAGATACTTTGAGGTCAGAAAGTTTAAAAATCTTAAAAGTAACTTCTGACAAATCTGCTGTGCCACACAAAAGGTAAAGCATAAAACTGACAGGCGGACTAAGTTATCCTCCTTCTGCTAAAGGCTCACGAGGCAAGCTGCAGGAATCAGAAAGGCTATGTTATCCATCTGGATTTCCAGAGCAAACAGAACTGTAAAAATTAGTTAATAAATGTAAATCTCATTCTTGTCCCCATCTGTCATGCTTTGGTTCTAATCTAAAAAGTTGTGTTTTTTTTTAAAAAAAGATTCATAATTGTCTAAAATAAAAATATAATTGCTGAGATATGACTAACGTTACACTGATAACTGCAGGACTGTGTTGCTTTCACCCTTGTACACACCTGCCCGAACACCTCCTTGTGTTATTATTCCTCCAACTATGTAAGCGTTTCTGGGCAGGCATTATGAAAGGTACTCACACCACCCAAATTCAGGAGCCTAATTTAGCTCATTTGTCTCCTTACACACCTTCACCATCAATGGAAAAAGACAGGCTCCTCCAGAGGGCAATTCAGAGCACCTCTCCTTCTCTTTGCTGACTGTTGTGGTACTTTAGCCAGTTAAGCCAGGCGGTGTGAAACCACTGCATTTATCTTTAGGTGCTAAACACATTTGTGGCGTTATACAGCATTATGATGGGATGCATCCTCAGATCCATAAAGTGCTAACGTGCTACAGCATCACAAATATCTACAGCATGTGCCAAGGCAGTTCAATGTAATCTACATTTTTAATGAGGGGATTTAGTTATCTGGCACTGCTGGACAAAATTGTACAAATTTTAGTTGTATGCATCTCATGAATGCTCTCCTACCCAAATTTTCTAGCTGTACCTCTCACCTGGTAATGATGAACTTGTGGGTTTGCGTATTTTGAATCCCTTTGCAAGGCAACCAATAAAGACACATTAAGCAGGCAAAATTAATATTTGAATATTGAGCATTTACCTGTTATCGGGCTGTTTTCCATACGTTGCATAATTCAATTTAAATCGCTTTGCCTGAAACAAGGCAAAAATGAATCCATAATTTCAAATGTACTCATGTGAATCCAAACAATTAGGAAAAAATACAATAAGCTTATTTTATACAACTTTCTTAATGCTGACAGATGCTTAATGCTGTTGGGCCAGCCAGTCAAGGTATCAAGGTCAATACTTTTATTTGACTTCAGTACAGTTGTAATAATGAAAATCAGCAAAGAACCTGCACCAAGAGGTTTGGCCTATCTTTATTTCAACAGTTGATAGAGCTAGTGAGAGAGAGGCGAGCCTTATATAGCATCAAATTTTTGCATCTTTAAGGAAGACAGGAGAACAGAGGTACTAACTACAAATAATAAATAACTCCTAATTTTAAGCTCTTAAAATGAAATGACAGCACAGACTCCTGGACATTTCTGATTTACAAGAATACTGGCAGACCAGAATGTGCCACACTGGAAAATGGAATCCCTGATGCTGGAAATATGGCTAAATACTTTGCACTGGATGATGTGCTCATTTCGTAAGATCCAAAATTAAGGTTTTTCTGAAAGAGCTACCTGTCACTGGACACTGGAAGCTTCCCTAAACTTTGCACCTGACTTTTTTTTTTTTTTAAACAAGTTTCCCAGGAGACTGGATTTGTGCCCACTGGCACATCTGGAACTCCCCACCCCCATCCTACCAGGGTTCAGCAACTTGTGCCCAACTCACATGTAAGTCTAGACCAAGATCTAAGGAGCAGCTGGTCTTCTGCCTCAAAATCCCGAGGGTCTCAATCCCATGGGCATTCTTTTATGATGCTTAGCACACAATGACCCAAGGAGGCTCACCACAGAGTGCGATGGTAAGTGCTATTTTCTTCTGAAACACGTCTGACAGGAAGAAGCAAAGGGTTGCGTGCCTTTACAAGAATACTGGTGTCAGAACTCACCCAGAGAGTGGAAGACCTAAGTAGGATGACCTCGTCACCTTGAGGGGATTCTAAACCATTTTTCTATCTCCCAACGGGCTTCCAAAGCCGAGATCCCTCTGCACTACACAGCGGCATAGCAAGAACTCACAGGGAGTGTGGCAAAAGAAAGCGAGCCTACTGTGAGTCCACAACCTAGAGACTGGACGTTTGTTTAGTTCAGCAGAGAGCCTAGAGTGCTCCTGTACCTTGTATGATGTATTTTCTTCCCTCAAAGATAGCATAAATAATTCTTGGGAAATACAGCAAAGACTTATCTCTAGGCTATAATCATGTTCCTTGCACGCTTGTGTTCACTGGTGCACAGTGGTACACAACTCTTTCTGTGGACCATTTACAAGCTAACAGGAAATTTAGATTCCACTTTGAAGCACTTTCATCTTTTTTTTTGATTTCATTCTTCACCGTGATATTTTGGGCTTAAAATCAATGAGACACCTGAGAGCACTTCACTCAAATGGGAACGGGGGACACTAATTCTTTAAATCAGAGACAGCCACAGCACCACGGCTCTCTGTTATTCCTTTGGCTGATTCAGTATTTAAAAAGAAATAAAAAAGCGAGCCTCATTCAGTTTTCCGCAAACGAGAGAAAAAGTACCTAAACATAAGAGACGAGCTGGACAGCTGAGTGCGCTGATTTAGGCTGCCTACACTGGATCTCTGTCTGACATCTGTAATTCTCTCCATGCGCTATGGAAATCATCATCACATTTTGAATTCAACTGTGGATAAAGATGAGTATTCCTGAAACCCAAATTTTTATTATTATATTACTCCTTACAGGAGCCACTCTCTTTCTCTCTCTAGTGACTAGAAGGCCTCTAGAAGATTAGCATCCCTTAATCGTGGGCTCTGATTTGCAGTATTAAACAGGACAGGCGAAACAGATACCTCCAGGCCTCTCATCTACCCCCTTTAACAGGGAACGCCATCCTCTCAGGAAATCACTCAAGGAACAACACCTGAACCTCTCAGCTTCCTACGCAGGGTATTAACCACACTGAAATAGGCATCGATTTACCTTACTATATCACACTGTAACTGAGGTGATTCTAGAGCTGCTTTATGAACCAGTCATCCCAGTCTCTGCAGCCAACTCCTGTGGGTACAACGGACAGCTGTGTCAGCCGTCCCATTTTAATCTACTACGCATTCAACATCCTAAAATTAGCCTCTATGACTATTCCTCCTGTTCTTCCTAACCTCTCAGCTTTTATGTATCCGAGACAGTTGTTATGTATTGCAATTATACAACAGACTAGCTCTTTCTTGACTGTAAATAGGTTTGAATAACTTTTGTTTCCTAAAGACTAAGAATAATGCAAGCCTTAAAAGTCATGTTTCTCTTGCAAATCAAAGTTACTCAAAACCCAGCGTGAACCTGCAAGTTCATCTGGTAGGTACATAACAACATACACATTGTAACAAATTCGGAAGTACAAACAGAGAGAGACCGAAGGAGTGCGGTAGGTATACTCAACCTATTTCCTTGTTCTTCTCTGGTCTGTCCTTGGTCCGGTAATAATAGAAATGCTCAGAAATAAACACACCACAACATTTCTATACCTAGATTTTATCCAGACATTCACATGGAAATTCGTATTTTTGCTAACAATGTTCTGAGCAAGAATGTTAATAGTTTATGTTCATTAATTTAACGCTAAAGAAAAGAAGAATCACGATTTGCTAAATATTGAATTCATCCGTAATCATTCAAAAGACAGATTTTACACTATCCCTTCCCAGTTTTTGTTCCCAACTGGCTGATTTCATTTACTTACCGGTGTAGCACCAGGAAGCGGTTTTCCATTGATTTTGTGTAAACATTTCTCTGCAGTAGCTAGATCTGCAAATTCTACAAAGCAATAGCCTGCTGGAATTCTGAACACAGACACAGGAGAGGAGAGAGAAAGATTTCAGATTTAAAACACATCTGAGGAGGAACAGTATATTTTTAGAAAACTGGTAGGGAATTTCCTATAGTTGCAATACTTAGAACAATTTCTTTTTCAGAGAATAAACATTAGCTACCAAAAAGAAGCCAGTAAAATAATCTTGGCTCTCAAGTAAAGTGACAGCCCCTACTTACCAGTAAGCCAGGTCAACATAAGCACATAAAAAAGAGTTTTGCTCATTACTACTTTACTTCCTACTTTCATTGCCTATATAAATTTTCCCACCCAAGTTTAAACAATTTAAAACTGAAATGACAACATTTACAAGATACGAAACTACTTTATTCTGCATTCAGTCACTCATTTTATTCCAAACAAACTCAAAAGGTTCTCGTATTGCTCTGACTTCCCACCTCTACCAGCATCACGTAGCTGCACTAGTGCAACAATTAACACCGAGTAGTCACTGAAGCCTTCAGCCCAGGTGTAACTCCCAGAGGGACTGTATGGCATACTTATGCCGCTCTGAACGAGCGCTGAAAAACTGCAGGATGAGGGCCAAACCTTGGTTTGTGATGGGGAGGTCGAAGAGCCAGTCCTCTCCATTGCTATCATCAATATAGCCGTATTGTTGGCAGCAATGGTGAAAAGCTCAACAGGAAAATCACTCAAATATGGGCAGGACCACAGCGATGCCATGCAGAGGGCAAACGCTTCAATCCAAATGCACTGGTAGAACAAACTGAGAACAAGCATAAACAGTTACCCTGTCAACCTGTTTCGAATGATTTTTACACTCAGTACGAGCTCTCCCATGGTGGCAAAGGCTCTTGAAACAAAGTTTTCATCCATATATGGCTCCAGCTATAAAAGCAAAAAAAAAAAAGTTAGATCAGGGCATCTACAAAAAGGAGAATATATGTGTCAATGTCACCCTAAGCAGTTAAAACATTATTGAGAAGTATTTTACCCTTACACTTCAAAAAGAAGACTCATTTAAGAGGGTCGATGCCACTCAAAACCAGCAGGCATGCATGAACCAGGCTCAACAGTCTGCAAAGTGGAACCCAAGAGACAGCATGAATTTCAGAGAACAGGGAGCTTTCACAGAAGGACAAAAGCCACTCAGAAACATACAGCAACAAACTGAGCGTTCACTACACGGAGCAGGGGATAAGGAGACGGCAGGCTCCTCTGTATGCAAACGGAGGTTGGGCCAGCGCTGTCGGTGCACAGGCACGGCACAGCCCTGGGTGCTATGAGAAACGGGCGGCACGCGTCGAGTAACACAGCCCCCATCGAGCTGGGGTAGGGGTTTGACGAGCCGTGTCTACCTTGCATAACCGTGGAGATATGCAGGGCAGCATTCGGAGGGGAGACCTCTAACCGCGTCCCACAGCAGGTCTGCACTTTGTATTGCACATGGGTGCACTGACCATGTTTATGTCCTATGTGAGAGGGTGGCACTGTGTGTGTCAGAGTGTGTGAGAAGTGCAGGGCAGTGGTTTCGTGTAAGCGAACACGTCGAAGAGCAGGCGTCTGTATGGTGTAAGCGATTGAGAAGTATGAAACGGCACTGCAATTTGGACCAAACGTATGATGGAGGTACCGAGGGCAAAGGATGCCTCTTTGTGTAACAGAAAGCGAAGGAGGGAACTAACCAAAATGATGGTTTTGGGCAATACACACACTGATGGGGAACACTGCATCTGACAGCTAACAGGAGGCTGGGGTGTACGGGAAACACGTATAGCTCCATATATACAAGTATATATACCTGTGTGAGCAAGACAGATGGCCTTGTGGTAGCTGACAGCCCTCGAGCGTGTCGTGTGTCTGTCAGGTACCAGGTGGCTCTGTCACTTGTGTGCGTGACAGAATGTGCGGAATCGTGCAGCATCTGATAGCGGGTGACCATATTGCACTCGCATGTGCAAAAGGTGGCAGATGCCCTGCGTTGGTGTGAGTGTAAAGCGAAATGACCCCGTTACACGTGCCGAAAGCAGGAGGCAGCACTACCCTGTACAAACATGCCACGCAGAGGGTGATCCCGTGGGGGGTGTGTGTACAGGAAAGCCAGGCTCATGAGGGCAACAGGTGACTTGCTTCGATATGTACGTGTGCGTTTCAAAGAGCAGCGGCCTGCCTGTGAGAGGTGACGGAAAAAAAAAAAGATGGCTTTATGGAGGAGAGATGGTAGATAACCCTTTGTGCGGGTAAAGAGGAAAGGGACCATCTAAGTGTGTTTGCATGAGTGGCAGGCAGTGGAAAACTCACTGATGTGTCAGTGTACATGTGCAATGCAATGGCAAACTTGGTGTAAGCGTGCGTGTGAGAGAAGCAGCTGGTGGGATCCTCAGCGATGTGCTGAGATGTGTGTACACACACCTGAGAGAGGCTGAGGAAGACAACAGGGTGCATGTGTGTGTGCAAACAGGACTATGCAATACGCTGGTGTGAGTCTGTAAGAGTGGGGCTGGAGAAAGATGTGCGTGCAAGAAGCAACATGGAAATTGCGACAAACTGGTGTAACTGCACATGCATATCTGTAGTATATGCAGGTGTACACAAGCATGTGGCAGGCAGCAAGGATGCTACGATACAGCAGTGGGATTGCATACGTGACTAGGTAAAAGCGGCAGACAGTGCAGACACTACAAAACAATGTGAGCACATACGTGCAGGTGTGCGTGTGGGTGGCAAAGCACTACAGTACACTGGGTGTAAGTGAAAGTGTGCGTGTGCAGTGGCAAGCAGTGAGGGACACAGGTGCACGAGTATGAGGGTGTATGCAGTGTGTGTGAAGGGCAAACAAGGGACACCGCGGGGTATGTATCACTGTGTGTGTGCGCCCACGGTGTGCGTGTGAGCAGGCAGCGAGAGACATCCTAGGGTGAGGAAGCATCTGTGAGTGTGAGTGTGCTGCCAGGTGCACATGCAGGCGGGAATGAGGGAAATACCGGTATGTGTAAGAGCATGAACGCGTGAATGCATGCAAGAGACTGCAAATCCTTATAAGCATGCGAGTGTACCCACAGGGGTGCATGTGTGTGAGGCGGGTAGTGAGAGATACTCTTGGACAGGTGCATACAAGCATGTGAGTGCAAATAGGCATAAGCGCCTACAAGTGAGAGCACAAGCGTTTGAGCCTAGTAGCGCAAACACAAGTGCGAGTATGTGAGTGTGTAAGTGCCTTAGAGTGCATGACCATAAGCATGTAAGTGTCTACAAGCACACGAACATGTAAGCCAGCATATAAACACTAGAAGCGTGTAAGCCTACAGGCTACTGAGTAAGTAAGCGAGTGTGTAAGTGTCTGATAGAGCATGAGCACGAAAGTTGAGAATGTCAGTGCCCATGAGTGTGCCTGCCCACCAGCGTAAGCACAAGCAGCACAGGACACTGGTGTGAGTGCCATGAGCGTGACTGCGACCCTGGCTGCGGGCAGGCAACAAGGGTCACTCTGGGGGGTGTGGGGGTGTGTGTCTGTGTCTAACTGCATCTATGAGTGTGTAACTGCCAACGAACGTGCCGGGCCGGGGTGAGCATCTCCGAGTGCGTGTGTGTCAGCCTGCATGAGCCTGCCAGCATGCAAGACAGCAAGTGTGCATGAGTGTCAGCTCGGGAGTTTAGGTGTGTGTCAGAGTGTGTGAGGGTCTGTGAGGCTGTGTTAGTGTATGACGATGTTGGTGTGAGGGTGTCAGTCAGTGTGAGGGCGTCAATCAGTCTGTCAGTCGGTGTGAGGGTGCCAGTCGGTCGG